AACGAGTCTTCAAGCTTGGATGTCTTCTGATAAATTCAGCTGGCCAATTTTTACCCACAGTGGGAGAGAGTGAAGAGGAGCTCGAATCGCGGGATTGCAACAGTAAACCAGCCATATCTCGTAATATAGAGATCGTGAGAGCTGCACCTCGCCGATCCATGGAGATTAACCAATCTTGGATGGATTTCTCCTCAAGCCGAGTAAATTTATACAGAGCTGAGCGAGAATCGGATTAATTTGTTCGCCCTTTGATCCTAGCACCGAGAGTTGTACGTGGAACATCAAAAGACCATGCAGCAGCAGCGACCGAGGAAAATCTGCCATTCTGAAGGGCTTTAATAGCTAATAGAATGCGACCTTCTTGTTGAATGGATTTTTGTGCTTTTTCCAAGCGTTTTGGAGGCATGATGACTGTTTGAAAACAAAGGGTTACTACGGAGACGAAACTTATGATGGGGTGACCGCGTAGCCAGGATGACCGGCTAGCCGGGAAACACGTTACTGTTCCTTGTAGAAATTTGAAAAGTTCCAGTTCGGTCACAAAAGTGATTTTTTGTGCTGTTCAACACTAGCGCCGCCATCGACGCCCTTGACTTCAATCGCTCCGCTAACGTCGTGATCGTGCTGCCCCTCGAACTGTCAGACCTCAACACCGTCAAGACATTTTCGAGCAAGGTGCTTGAGATTCTAGGCCGGGACAAGATTGATTTCCTGTATATGAACGCGGCATTGGCCAAGGATGCGACGCTGCCTACGCCCAATGGATCCAAATGGTGCGAGGCACGAGTTGTGAACCATACCTGTGAGTACACGACTCTGTACAATTATAGATGAAGCTAATAGTATGTAGTAGACATCAGCATGGACAGTCCATGGACAAAGGGGGCTTGTCCATTGTCCGTCCATGGACTGTCCATGGACACCTGAATTGGCCTAAATTGGACTGAATTTTTTGCATAACTCGCTGAGTCATCTCTTTTTTTTACACTTGTTTTGGTCCGTATATGTACGACCATCACTTTCTTTGCCCTTCCCCTGTGTAATTTTAAGAAATCTATCTGTTTCTAGGTTAATATATATCTCTTTTCTTTATAATTTAGCTTTAGAATACTAATTATTTTAAGATGGTAGGTAATTCTTGAGAATGTAAGGTGAGCATTGAAAAGATATATTTCGGCCATAGTATACCAGTACCATCTTCCACTAAAGAATCTCCTTTAATTTTTTATTTAAGCAAACCTTAATATTAGTTTTAGAAATTTAGATTATATACTCTCTTAGTCCTATTCTATCTTCATTCAAAATTTAAGAGCCTATGCATTAATATTGCGTCTGTAGTAAAGGAAAAGGCCAAATAGAAGGCGGACTTGGAGAAATTGAAGAGGGAAAGAATTCTAAGTATTAGTTTATACTAATAGGCTCAGGGGAATAGACCCACCTAGATACGTTCTAGCCAATTATAGCGCGTTTAGCCTTAGGCAGAAGGCCCGCCCCTATTCCGCAGACTATGGTTTAGACTTATTTTCTCCCCACATCTCCTTACTTTCGTATTAGTTTCTGTTGGAATTTGGACCAATGCTACATTAGGTGAAGGTATCCTCTTATTCAACATAAGAAGAAGAAGAAGAAAAGAAAGAGATGCGAACATGATTTACCCCTCCAAACCGCTTACCCCTCTTTACCCCACCAGATCGATGACATATCCCTCATCACGCCATCAGTTCTATCACATTTCCTTCCCTGATTCTATTCTGTTTATCTGATGTAAAGCATGTGACTTTGACCACTTTCTGTCTATAAATACGCGGGAGACACCAAGTAGAAATGACAGACCTTTCACTCTCTTCAAATATTCTTCTATACTTCTGCCTTCTTAAGTCCTTTGTTTGAGGATTGTGGATTGTACTCATTTAGAGTGCATAAGCCCTTTGCACTCTATCTTATTCTTTTCTATCTTTATCCGATCAAGCCTTCCTTGGTCGGGTAGTCAACGGTCGTTGGTGGGGAAGCATCTACAAAAGCGTACCCCGCGCCACGAAAAGCTTCGTGGTATCCGCCTCCCTTCACGGCCGACACTATTTAACTCGGCGCGGGATGTTTGCCACTGCCGTAGGGGCCGTCTAAATAGGTCAACTATCCAGGATCTAATGCTTTTTAGCTATACGACTAAGTTTGAGATAGAAGAGGAATAGCTTGAGCTAGCCCGTAAGATAGGGGTTCACGACGAAGGGGAAACAGATAATATAAGCCCTGAGACTGATAATATTGAGCCTATTAGTGATAGGGAGGAGGAGGACGACGACGACGAGGAAGTGAGGCTATTATTAGTTAGGGCGGGGAAGAGACGAAGGAGTACTATATCTAAGGATGAGAATGATCAAATTGGTGAGGATAATGATGATAATAATGATAGATTGCCTATTATACAGAGCCAAATACGTGAATTAGGGCGAGTAAGGAAGCGTCCTAAGGGGATTGAAGGGTTTGAGGTTCAGTTTTATTAGAGTAATTTAATAAATACTCACTTTTGCTCCAAACAATTACTAGATGAATACCAAAGTTACTGCATAACATAACATTAATTTATGACATGGCGTATCATGGACAAACCCTCAGTGTCCATGGCCGTCCATGGACAATGCTGATGTCTACCTTCACCTAATGTAGCATTGGTCCAAATTCCAACAAGAAGGAATATAGTTATTAAAATCACTATCTTAAATTGACAAGGAGAAAGGAGATTACTAATTTTAAGATATAATAAGATAAAAGACACAGTAAATATAGTAGTTACTAATGTGATAACACGGCCTTGTATGAGGATACGAACGGTCACGTTACCCTACTTTCTTCTGCCATACGGCACCGCCCTTAAGGCATATTTCTATCCTTTCGTACACTTACTTAGCAAGACACACCTTTTCACCTCCAGAATCTCATCAGAAACCACCAGAAACCATTAAAAACCACCAAAAACCATTAAAACTACGAGAAACCTATTCTGCTAAAAGTCTGTGTTTAATAATATATTAAATACATATATCCTCGCGATAAAATATAGCTAAGAGACCTAATACCTATTACTGGCTAACTACCTACGATTAATACACTAAAAATAAAGGAATATTATATTACTTCTACTTTTTATTTTATATATAAGTGAATTACCCTATATTTCATAGCTTTTATAGTCAAAAAATGTAATCAAGTAGTGTCGAGACCAAAACATAGTTTAATAACAGTAATCTAAAAGTATGAATCAGCAAATTTATGTATGTCAAGACCTTGATTTTATGCAAAAATGGGTTTTGTTGGGGCCCCAATGGGGAACCGCAATGGTTTGTGGTTTGGTTTGGTTTTCGCGGTTTCAAACCGCAACCATTGCGGTTTTTGGCGCACTCTACCCAAGCCAAAGCCCAAGACCATCACCAGTCGACGTACGCGGAGCTAGGCAATGGGGGAAGCGGAGAACTGACTATATAGGGGTTGAATGCCTATAAATCTGACCAGAGATGACAGTTTAAATTGAGAGAGAAACATGCATCTTTACTATGTAAACCAGAATTCAGACATGGGCTACTGTTTTATATCTAAAGCGGTGAGGATATGAGGGGCAGAATGGTTCGCGATAGCTTCATATTTACTGGATTAGGCAAAATAATAATCAGTGGGGTGTGTGTAGGCGAGGGGGCGGGGGGGGAGGGGGGTGGAGTATCGCCCTAAATTTATATCACTCGCGTACTCAAGTTGTAGTGTGATCGTTTCTAAGATATCTGAAGAACTGCGCCCGCCATGGGCTTAGAGTCTTTTGGGGGCTGTCTTGTCCACGGAATTATCTGACGTAAGATACACGTCTCCCGAGAATCATGGATATATTTCTAATATGAGCGCCACCGACCATCTTCTGTCTTCATATGGCCTGAAAGGTCCCACTCCCGGCCAAAATCAATCATCTACCGCGGTGCCGTGGTCTATAGCAGAGCGAGCACCTACAAAAGCACTTGATCGGGTGTATACCCGCGTAGCTCGTATGTCACATCTCGCCGAGTGAATATACTGCAATGTAATGAGATTAGGTGTTAAATTAATTAACTTTCAATTTCATCTTTTATATTTTGAACATTGATACCCTGTCGTTTCATTTATCCTAATATTTAATGAAAGGGGCGTTGGCAAGGGCATCTGCTTGAACCGTCCAAATATCTTTTCCTAATCTGACAAGGTCATCGCCAAAGTTCGCGATAAAGTCTTCCGCACAAGGTCCCTCGTTCCATATCAACCGTCGGAGATCACTTTCAGAGACTAATGTAGCCGCTTGCCAGATATTTTTCCATTTGATTACACTTTGCATAGCCTCGGAATGCTGGCTCTGAACTTCCCTTGCAATCATATAGAAGGAAGATCGCTTAGCATGGCCTCTTTTGGGCTTCAGTGGTCTTATAGAAGAAAATTTAGCGAAAGTCCAGACCAGCTTCGCTGTATCCCATGCTTCAAGCTTATGGAGAAGTATCACCATTGTTCCTCCAGGATTCAAGTGTTCGAGACCCAGAGCTAATTGAGTGACTGTGAGCCTTCGGGCCTCGATTGGTTCTCGATACGATGCGCGAGAATGTGTCCTAAGAACTTGGTCGTCGCATATCACTAGGTCAAATAATTAATTCTGCCAGAGTTATTGTAGTAAGAAGTTTATGGCATCCGGATAATCCTTTGGGATGTTATGCACTCCCATATCGCTAGCTAGCATGGTGACATCCAAGAATCTCTGATCGACATCTATGTCTTCTAGCAGCCGGCTTTTATAACCGCTGCAGATGACGGGTAAGCTAAAAGCAACTGTTTGCGATCCCGGGTTCTTCTTCAGCGCTGTCTCTAAAAACCCTCCAGGAGCCATGCATATGTCCAGAATCTTTTGAGGGCCTCCTTAATTGCGAAGACGTTACTAAGGTGGTGGAGCTCCTCGCCGATATCTTTCATTAGAGTGTGGAAATAAAAATCGTTTTTTACGCTACTTTGATCGGCATTTCGACGTTGTGCTCGGAAATAACCATCGCCTTTGGGGTTATTCCATCCCTAGCAATGGGACGTATTAGAAGCATGTATACGTATCATTTGATTTGGGTTGGGTACTCTCTACCTCAAAAGGCTAAGCTCCCTAAACTCATCACTTTGCTCCATAAGATATAGCACGATGACTTTGCGCGTAAAGTCACGCACCCTCTCGCTAGGTGGTGAAGTCGCGTCTTCAACAGTTTGTGGACTTTCAGTTTGTTAGTTGTACAAGAAAACGGACTCCATCGCATCTACCATTGGCGGCATTGTCCTCGTCTTCAAAAAGTTGAACAGAAAAGGCGAAATCGAGCCGGCACCTAAAATGAGACGTAAAAATATTGTAGGTCCTTGAGATCAACCCAATTTTGAGTTAGCGCCGATCTTCAAAGAAGTACAATCTTATAGTGCCGGTTGGGCAAGTACGCATCGGGCCACCGGCTTATCATAACACGTTGCTTAGGCACCAGATGCCAGACCGCCTCAAAGAAATAAGAGTTGGAGGGCAAATTGCATCATAATACTAATTTTGAGAGGATCATTGGCAGCCTTGTTGGGCGTGCATACTTTCTTGCTTCCAGCTGAGGGGTTAGTTCAGTTACTTCAGTAGTGCGGGGTCCTTGAGGCTATATCCAGTCACCTTATACTCTAGTACATGAACAGATCAGCCCTCACTCGTCGCCTGATTGGCCGAGCTGCCCATATCCGCCGTGCTCCCATCACCCAGCTATTTTTGTATTAGTTTCTTCAGAAGTGGCACCCATTTCTCGCTTTTGTCCGCGCACCCCATAGTTAAAAGTTCGGTGGACTGCAGCGACCTGTCCCGCCATTACCATCCTTATCTATGTCCATGTGCTTCCCGGCCATGTACTCGCATCCTATGTAATTATTTATGTTGATCGAGCCATGCTTCCCATATACTTGGATATCGAAGATCGCACACCCGGGCCCTTTAATTTGTAAGTCTAACCATTCACCAACATTAGCAGCAATCCGTCGTCATCGACGTCGATGGAGATGAGGGGTATCAGGACAAAGCGATGTGTATTCCTTCCTTCACGAATGCGACATGTCGCGGTACCAATAATTAATATATATAGTGAGTTGCCAGGGCATTTAGTACTCTCCTGAATCTCTCGATCATTTCGGTTACGTGATCAATGTTTTTCCCCTTATGCGGCAGGACATAATTCTTGCCAGATGGTATCGTCAGTATCGTTCTTATACGCCTCTTGGATCTAACTCACTGAGTCTGCCGCGGGGTTTTCCATCGCAATGTCGGCGATTTGATGCGGAGAGATTACGAACAGACAAAAAGGAGGTGGCGGGCACGGCAGAAATATTTCCATTATCAGTAGACCTATCAGATTGTTACATCGCCCCTTAACGGCGTCATAGTGATCAATCCTCTAGGAGGAGCCGCCTCTTTCCCCTTAAATTAGAAACTACTTTAATCTATAATGCCTGAAAGGACTCATAGTAAGGCCTGCGCTTATTGGTCCTAGATAAGGATCCACTTTGAAATTTGAATATGGGATCGAGACCTTCGATGTACGCGATACGTATTTCCAGACTTTGTGCCCCTTGAGGGTAGTATGAATAGTGTGACCAAGGAGGTTTTATTTTGTACAATATAACGTCACTTTTTCACTTGGCGCGCCTTTCTGACCGCTTATTACCCCTTATCCCCTAAGGAGACATTCAAGGAAAATCAATATACTATACCTACGCCGTACCTTGGGGTATCCGTGTCAAGAGATGAAAACGGATCTTAGTGTTCCTCTTGAACTACTCGTTCGGTAAGGACTATGTGATCGAAACTTTCTTCTAATCTCATTGATAATATAACAGTGCCTAAGAAACAGGCGAATGTTCGGACTTCGAAGTCAGATTTGAATGCGGATCTGAGCCTATTTCACTTCACCGCTTTATTGTGTGTCTGTAGTCAGAATTCTTCCGTATAGGCATATCGGGCAGGTGGAAAGTAAATATTAACGTTAGAATCGACCATTGTTCTTCACATTAACATTCACTAGGAACGCACCGAGCGCTTCTTTGTTATTAATGATAATCCCTACATTACTAAGAAAATGTTTGATTTTTTTTATACCGAGAACTATGAAGATAAACAAACACCAGAAGAAGATCCAGCCGTTAGCAACCATTTGTTAGAGAGTGACACCGATTTTGAGCACATCTCGAATCCAAATTCTCTCGCTAAAACCTGGTGGCGTGCCTGGACTAATCTTCAAGTTTACATAATATCGGACAAATACATCGCCAAGGGGCTGAAATCGTTCTTTCTTCAAAACCTTGAAACTATGTTGGAGGCAGAGTGAGAATTTCTGGGGTTTATTCAACTCGTTCAGTAAATTTATCAGGTTCTAGGCCAACCTCCGGACGATCTTTTGCGACCCGTATTGAAATTTGCTACTCGACATTTCGCTCACCTGAAAATATATTCGAAGTTCAACCAGATCCTTAAATAGAGTCAATAATCAAGAGCCAAAAGGTCTGGAGTACCCACGTTCTTGCTTCTGCCGTCCAAGTAAGACATTTGAAGATCGTATGGCATTTTTACTACATCAAGTAGATAAGCATTCGTGGTGTATCATCTGTGGAATACTTGTCCACGTATATGAAGCCAGTCATCGGAATATACATCGAAAAAGGAAACGGCGCTAGGAGCATTCAAAAATGGATTCAAAATTTGACCAGACTCGAATACCCCGTTGGTAAACAATATTTTTGTTAGCGATTGTCCTTGAATTTTGAGTCTCGTGGCTTTTGTATACTTATGGGGTCCTATAGCCTGTTTTAGGCTCTCCGGAATTTTAGACATTATGTAGTGTGACAAGTTCACTGGGAATTGTCGTTGAAGGAACGTTGATTGACGAAAATATTGTGCGGATATATCGGGTCTCCGCAAATACTACCCTATCACCAAGCGTGCCCATAGGTCCAGGTTTCGAAGTTTTCACAAAGTGATTCGTTCACGGTTGAGTGTTGACTTAACGACCATAGCTTTAACCGTTGAAGCAGCGAGATCACCGTCGTTGTTGGCATGCTCCGTTGGCTGTCACTATCATCATCTTACTGTCAGCATTGACGGTGGACCTGAAGTCCAAGACGTTGAGTTGTCAAGCTAGGATCTGATCCACGCGCCTTCACTTGCGCGAGTCACGGTCGCGCGCCGGATACCTAGCTCGGATTCGCTTTAGGCCTCTTTGAAGCGCGACCATACCACATTGACTTATTATACTGTAGATATTGTGGAATCTCAAAGACTATGCTCCTGCCCTATTCAGTCTATTCATAATTTTTCGGCAGTAAATACGCGTATCGAATATCATGGTCTTTGTTGTATCTAAATCAGTAGCTTAATGGGTACTACTGTATACCATTGACGCTAGCCACCTGCGCACGAGATACTCGACAGATCCTGATTTACCCGATAGTACCACAGCCCCATTAAGGCTGTCAATAAATCCAGCTCGGTCTATGCATCACTGGCCCATTCGCGCTTTACCTGCCTATTCGGCATTTTACCTCCTAGGTCTTCGAGCCAACGCTGACGCTACTCGGACCATCTCTAGTATCGAAACGCTCGAGCAACAGACTCCAGCTATCGCGCCATCAAATGTCCCTTTACTCTACGTTTTCCACTGGCACAACAGGTGACTCGCCCTAAGAGCAAGGCGCTTTACCGGAAGCATGAAGGCAGCTGCGGACGTCAGCCAGCTTTGGCTGGCATCACCGAAATGCAGGCAAAAACAGAGTACGCAAAAGACGTGCATTCTATTTCTAGACTGACACCTGTAGTTGAGCTCGACGCCTTCCCTAATCAATCGATGGAAGCACTCTTTGCCGCGCATATTCCACCCCTGCTGTTGCCCCTTGCTCGTATTCAGAAGATGCTCCCCCTTCGTCAACGACCCAGTGTCTGCGCCCGTTGTCAGCACTGCATACAGTTCCTGGCCCAAGAGAAAGGCATACAGGCATAGGCTGAGACTCATGCCAGTCCAAGTACTTTTTAGGTACCGCTAAACTACTTTTCCATCAGCTTCCTTTCAAGTCGAAGCATTTCTTCTATAACTTCCAAGAAATTTTCTCCTTCTGACTGTCCGAGTGGCAAGAGCGGCTTTCGCGGTGCAGCTCCATATCCATGTATTTTGTTCAACGCGTATTCTGGAAATAGTCAGAAATAATTCACCTCAAAGCCAACCTTCCGAGATTGGAAGAGAAACAGCATACTCATCGCCCGAATTCCACCTGGAACTGCAGCTACATCCGCCCTGGACAGAAGGGCCTGTATTTCCTTGGCTTCCTGTAGTTCTCGTTCGGTCGGAGAGGGAATATTGAGCAGAGCCCAAAGTCTCATGGAGGCTACCGGCGCAAAATTCGGTATACCGCTGACGGTTCCATGACCTCCACATTGCATCCACGGAGTAAGATCCGCAATCAAACCATCCAAAAGGAGAAAGGGGAATTTCCGATTGGAAGATATGGTAGGATCCTCGGAGATTGCGGCATTTAGACGAAGCAGTTTCCCGATGCTACCACCGCATCTGACTATGGGTTAACATGGCGAAATGAAGAACTAAAACACATCCCAAGTCTAACCCACGTTAATTTCACACCACACAAATTGGGTGCCTGTCTTATAATTGTGCTGATGACTTCTGACGAAATATCTTGACCGCCTGCATTGACAGGGAAGTTGTAGAGTAGCAAGGGAATCTGTGATTGAATGAGTAATGAACCTTGTATGTATTCATCCACTGAGTCATAGCCTACTGGCGATTCTTCACAAATATCAATGTAATACTGCATTACTTGCTCCTGGTCGGCATTGAGACTTACAGCATAATAGGCAGGCAGAATTACCATTCCAGCGTCTCTGCATACGGTCAGTCAAAGAACAATGGTATCATCCTCGATGGTTTATGACTGACGCTCCTGCCTTTGCCGCTGCATGAGACAATTGAATGGTCTCCCTCGTACTCGAGCCTCCAACTCCAGCAACGATCGGCGTCGACTGCAGGCCAGCTTCATCTAAAGTGTTTCGGATGAAGCGGATAAGAGCCGTTCGCTCATCGAAACTCTGGTTCGGTTCTTTAGAAAATAATATGGTCTTACGCGTAACTAGGTCACTTACCAAATGAACAGCTTCTCCCAAAGATCCGGCACATACTGGGACTAGCAAGTTGGGTTTTATCAGTGTGTGGCTTCGCTTTCCGTCCACAGTGACTTACCCATGCCCTTAGTGGCCAGATCTGCACATGAGGGATTAGAGCCCCAACTATGAAGGGTCAAGGGGTGACTCAAACTCACTGAGAAGATGTTTTTTGTAACTCTCATAGTCAATCTCCTGCTTATCATCGAAAAACGTGGGTAGTGGCGCATAGACTCCGGGCCGGAGGGCTCGCGTGGAGCTAGAATTGGCCATCGTAAATGCTGTCGTGAGCCAAGTCAAATTGCAGTGGAACTTGATTCCACGCCTCCCGCCTTTTGTCCGATTAGGACCGCATACTTAACTCGCGATGACTCGTCATCTTATCTGTCGGGAAGATCGGTGTCCATCCCGACCTGATAAGCCGACTGCGGCAAAGTTCCGGTCAGCCGCGCTGTTGTTATCGGGCTCCACTATGGCCCAGAGTTGAGGTCGATGGTTATCGCAATTCGCTAGCTAAAGATACCCTGAATGCCTTTTGTAGAAAGATACGCTCACTCTATTTCATCCGTATTTGTTTTCATCTGAGTTAGAGCTTCTTTCCCTTCATCGACACAAACGACATGATTCCGGAAGAGGTATGAAGCATTCTTGAGAAGGAAACTCATTCGTACTGATCGATCTCGTTTGTCAGAAAAAAATAGACATGGGCTATAATGCCAATGAGGTGCCCGTTGATATGGGCGTGGTGGAAAGTACAAATCTCAATCATGGTCTTCAACGACAGCTCAAGGTACGTACGGGTGGAACTTGGAATTCTCCTTTTGCGTGAAACTAACCACAGTCGCATCTAGCCGCGTCACTTGTGAGTCTAGACTTTCTGGGTGAAGAGTCTGTTCCAGCCTCTAATAAAGGACTAGACAAATGATCGCCATTGGAGGCGTGATAGTGAGTTACCTAGATTGCTACTTCGTGATGCGAGAGCTGACCAAGTTATCAGGGTACTGGACTTTTTCTAGGAACCGGAACTGACCTAAAAGATGGTGGTCCCGCTGGTTTGCTTCTTGGATACTGTATCATGGCATCTTTGCTATACTCGGTAATGGTAAGGATATCAGCAATATGCTCGTAATAGAATTTTGGAATTATCTGACCTCCATGGATAGGTCGCTTTGGGTGAAATGGTTTCGCAATTCCCTATCCCAGGAGGTCAATTCGCACTAGCTGGTCGATTCAACTCGCCCGAGCTTGGCTTTGCCATGGGTATTTTGTTTTGGTATAAGTACGCACCAAATCCAGTATTTTATCGGGGGTTGAAATCTAACAAGCTGATTCAGCTATATTGGTACGCGACGGGTCATATCAATCTTTACGTACATCGATACTAATTCTTTCAGTCGTTCTGCCGGCCGAGATATCTGCCGCTGCCGTTCTTATCACATACTGGACTCCAGCAGGACAGTCAGATTCAACCTGTACCACTGGAATTTGTAATAATGCAATGTGGGTAGGACTCATGTTGATAGTTGTGGTATGCTGTTCGGACTCTCCAAAAGAAGCTACCGACGTTGACACTTGAATAGTTTCTCATCAATTATGCCGGGACGCGCACCTTCGGCGAGATGGAGTTTTGGTTCTGTTCAATTAAGGTATCAATAATGCCTCTAAAAGCAGGAAACTTTGCGTCTAAAAGCAATGACAGGTCTTGACAATAATTGGTCTGATTATTACTGGCGTGATAATCAGCGCTGGTGGTGGGCCCAATCATGAAGTAATCGGATTCAAGTTCTGGAATGAGACAGGCGGCTTCGTACAGTACGAGGGAATTGGTATGGTATCCTACTAGCTTCGTGACACCGAACACTAGCTAATAGTATCGACTTGCAGGGGGAGCCAAAGGGCGATTTCTCGGCTTTTTCAGCGGTATGGATTTTCCAGATCTTTCTTGAGAGATCGAATTTCTCACACGTGGCAGTATTGATTAATGCGGCTTTTGCCTTCATCGGATCGGAGATTACCGCAATTGCAGCAGCTGAAACATCCAATGTATGACCTCCTTTTCATGTGAAGACGCCATCCCTGCTGACTTACAATTTTTCGCAGCCACGAAATAACGTGCCACGAGCCATCAAGAGCGTTTGGATTAGACTTGTTCTGTGTGAGTTTCTTTCACATGAATTCTCCCAAAGTAATACTAATACTGAATCTTTCAGTCTATCTTTGCAGTGCTTTTCTGGTCAGAGATCTTAAGAATCAATCCCACTAAGTCCCAGACTAATAATCGCAGATCGGTCTCCTTGTATCGCCCTCAGATCCATCCCTCAGCCTCACTTCGACGGCTGCTAAGAGCCCTTTCGTCATCGCAATTGAGGTCGATATATCCTTCTAAATTGAACAGACAATTCTTGCTAACTTACTGATTCAGAATGCTGGAATATCTGTGCTGCCCTCCATTATAAATGCTGCCCTCCTTACCAGTGCATGGTCTGCCGGTATTGCCGATCTCTTCGTGTCAACACGCACCTTGTACGGACTTGCCTCTAGAGGCCATGCGCCGAAGATATTTTTGAAGACCCGAAAGGACGGTTTCCCCTTGGTCAGCTTCCTTTTCTGCGCCGCATTTTCCTTCCTCTCGTTTATGGCCGCCGCCTCGGGAGAAGCGGGCATGGTCTTCGGTTACTGTAAGATAAATTACTCGCTTCATATCCAAGTAAAGCCCATGAGCTAACACAGCCAAAGTCTCGAACATGACCGCAATTTGTGGCATGATCTCGTGGACGGGCATTTTATGGACCAGTATTCGTTGGCACAAAGGGTTGAAGGCTCAGGGAATCGACCGCCAGACTTTGCCATACAGAGCACCTTTCCAACCTTATCTCTCCTACTGTGAGTTTTCCAATTGACACACAGAGATTAAACCTAATTGTTTATCCACCTCAGATGGAATGTCGATCTGTATTTTGGTCATCATATTTGGTGGCTTCAGTGCGTTCAGTGAGTGTGAATGTCTTCATAAATTTGGAATCGGTACTAACGCGATATCAAGTCCATTCTTTCAACGTGTCCTCCTTTATCACAACTTATTTCCCTGTTCCATTTTTTGCCGTTTTATTCTTTGGCTTTAAGTTTTGGAACAAGTCAAAAATGGTCGACTATCCAGAGATGGACTTTGTGTCCGGATCTTCGATTGAGATATCTGACAATGTAAGTTACGCACGCTCCGGCTTCACTTGTACCTTTATTTTCTAATCCAATGACCCAGGAATCTCTCAAGAGTACGTGGCGAAAGATCTCTGAGAGAATCTGATTTCTCTTATGCTCTACAATTTGGAACTGATGGAATTGGTGTACTGTCTTCATACCTTCGCAAATTCAATCTTCCATAGTATAAGTCTCAGTCCTGAAATTATTGCTCTTCAAAATTGTAATGTCTGCAAATAATTTCGCCCAAAAGTAGGGGTTTCTATTACTAGACGACAGTGATTGAGGGCTCTTTGAGATGATCACTTCTCAGATTTGCGTGCCAGTCGCGTTTGAATATTGCCGCTCTTATCTCGCAAAACTCGGGCCAGGCAAACCTTGTTGGACCGAGAACACCAGTTCGTTGAAGTGGTCGATGACCGGTGAGTTTCGGTAACCTTGGATTTGCGAGATAAGATTATCGGAATCCCTTATCTGCTCCTGAAAGAAGATAGGGACAATCAGCGGCTGTTACTACCACCTTATTTCTATCAAACAACCGTGGATAAGAACATTCCCTTACAGATAAGACGCGGCAATGGCCCGATGATCGGCTTACGAGCCGCATGAACCGCAATATCCTTGATGGCCAATTCCCAACATCTCATCTCACTGAAATTAGGAACCCCGAACACCGCAGAATTCGATATGGTTCTCCAATATGATCTGGTCATTGTCAATGCAGTTGCGGTTATTGCTAGTGACATAATGTAAACGAACCCTCTAGAAGTGAGGTTGCGCAAAGTGGCTAATTTCATGAAATACATACTGTATTGGCGTCAAGAATGGAAAAATATGCGCTCTTGTTGATTCCTTTACCAACGAAGAGTTGGCTGGAGCAGAACTGATTGATGCCGAGTACGTGGAGCCATCCTCGCTACGAAAGAAAAAAAAACCATTTGTCTAATATTTTGCTTATAGAGCTGCCTATGTAATGCCTGGTGGAATTAATGCTCATGTACACCTGTGTCAGGATTTAAAGACCGGTCTGGTGGAACTACGACAATTATTACATTCGCAACACAGACCCGCGCAGAGAATGACCGTAGTCTGATCAAAGTTGTTGAGAGATACAACTCTCGCGCCCACGATACGGGCAGCTACGTGGACTATGGATTCCATATCATCATCGTCCGAAATGATGCCGACATTCTCGAAGATGAACTTCCAGTATTAATACGAGACTGTGGAATCAGCAGCTGCAAGCTTTTTTTGACCTATGAAACGCAGAGATTGACTAACTCACAACTGCTGGATGTTATGCTTGCCGCCAGGAAAAATGCCATTACTACGGTGAGTTAATAACTATTTAGCTTTCTAAATTTGCAGTTGTTAATTGTGCAGATGATACATGCCGAAAATGGAGCCATGATTGAATGGATGACTAGTAAGATTTGACATCCATCTGCATTGAAGCTCAGACTTACCAAGATATAGAAAAAGGCCAAGGGATTGGTTGGTAGGTACCTATGTCGTTGTATTGATCAAATCTCAATGTTTAAATAAATACTGGCAGCACCCTACTACCACGCTTTGTCGCGTCCCCCGCTTGTTGAGGGAGAAGCTACGAACCGAGCAATTGCTCTGGCTCAGATGATTCAAAATCCTATTCTCTTTGTTCATATTGGATCGGCAGTGTGTCTTCAGCGCCCTGCTTACATCCATTATACTAAGAAACCAGCAGCTTGGGGCGTCCAATGTTCGGCGAGCACAGAGGATGGATCTGCCAGTTTATGCTGAAACATGCCCCCAGTACTTTCATTTGATGTGGAACGACCTTGTAAGTTAGAAATGCCTGGTCTAAAAAGTCTCTAATCAAGAAAAATTGTAGAAACGCTTTCATTCCCCGACATGCTTTGAGAACAGGAAGATGATTTGCTCGCCGCCCCCTCCCCCCAGCACCTCTGACCATGAAGAGCTATTCGTGTAAGATTCTTTTTTTCTCGCATATGGTGAAATATATATGCTCATTGATCTAAAGAGGCCTCTCCAATGGCACATTTACGATCTACTCATCAGATCACTGCCCATTTCGTTATGACCACCCCCATGGAAAGCCGTCCGGTGTGCTAGAGCATCCTGAAACTATGGACGGTGAAAGGCCCTGTAAAGGTCAAGACCTGCAGAGCTTACTAGCCAGGAAAGGAGGCGCATTTCGCTTCATTCCAAATGGTATTCCCGGAGTCGAGACAAGATTGCCCTTGCTGTATGGTGGAGCACTTGCAACCGGTCGTATCACCCCACAGAGATTTGTGGAGTTGACATCCACGAATCCAGCTAAATTAGTAATGAGTTTTAACCACAATCCTGAAATAACTGAGTGGCTTACCTCATTTAGTATGGACTTTATCCAAATAAAGGTGCTCTGATGCCTGGATCTGACGCAGACTTTGTGATTGTAGGTTGTCATGCTTAAAGCTAAACATGGAACTTTTGAAGATATAGTGTTTTGACAAATGATTTTTCCGGCTTTAGTGGCACCCAGAAAAGAAGTTTTCACCTTTTCGCCTGAATAACTCTATGCTGCACCACAATGTTGACTGTAAGTAACTTTGGTATCTTGCGTGCTGTTTGGTCACGATATTAACAAATTCGGATTGAAGAAACTCCATATGAAGGGTTTGAATTCGTCAAATGGCCTCGATATACAATTCTTCGCGGTAAGATTATGTGGGCAAATGGCACGATATTGGGCAAGGTACGCGACGGTCAGTATGTGAAGCGTGGTCCCAGCCAATTGAGCCGGACGTCGCCTCGAGCTAATCGAGACCCCCTCTGCGTAGCGACATGGCTCTATGAGTAGACTAAACTGCCACGACATGACTTAGGGCATTATATTGACGGTGGTTGTTCTAGAGTAGCATGACAAAGCCGTTGGGGCCAATATAGCTACATTAGCACCTACGCTCCCTCAATCCCGAAAGCATAGCACATATACCTGCGCACCGACCGGAGTGTTCTGCAAGATAAACACATCACGAATTTTAGAGAATCATGATTTCATGGGCGATATTTAGTCAGAGCATTGTGTCGAACTGAGGGGTTGTATTTTACCACTAAGGACAGTGTTATTCATCAAGTACCCACTCTCTCTTTGTCTCTGTATTGTAAACGGGGTACCCTCGGCGTACCAACGTCGTAACACGCTAGGAACGACTCCTGAGATCTGCTAACGCTTCAACAGCAAGATTCAGCTAGAACACAACAATGCATCCCAATGACACACCTCAATACTAGCACATATCAGTATGTGTCAATCCGAGACACTGTTTAAAGGGTAATTCTTAAGTTTTTAATAAGAAACTTACCTGTACTGTACTTCGGGTATATTTCAACGTCGAATCAGCCGCTTTTCAGGGTTTGCCGAATCGAGTATAGACTGTCGCGGTCATTGGCCAATTAGACTGGAAATTATTATCAACATAGTGAAGGTCCAGAGATAAGAGCAAACCCTCCGGGGCTGACAGGATCGATAACTTAAACCCCTGTTCAACCTTCGATAATCGTTTCATGGCTAAAAAACATTACTGTTATTTCCTTTTGACTGAGACACAATCTGCATAACTCAGTATGTCAGTTCATGGCCTTCACAAACCGATGGACAGTCATGTCGGCTCAGATGATGAACGCCCTGCGAAAGCCCGCCGCATTTCCCGAGCCTGTCTGCAGGTATGTCATATTTCCTGGACTCCGGACTATTGACACCAATCAATGACAATCTCGGAACTGTAGTGTCGCGCTAGAAAGCAACGGTGCCTACCATCCTCTTTAACGCCCGATCTACAAGCTCCATGCAAGCGATGCCAGAAACTGTCTATCACTTGTTCATTTGAGACAGATAAAATGCCAGCTTTAGATGTAACCCAAAGCCCTTCAAGGCTTGCACAATTAGTTGTAGAGCTTCAGTCAAGGTATGATAGTCCACCATCGTCTATTCTAGAGTCCAGGAACTGAGACATACAGCAGAATTAACCAGCATGAAGTCCGGATTCTTCACCTTGAAGCCCGGCCTCAGTCGGACCAATCAGCTTTGCTTCAAGAGACGAACACCAAATATATGAAGACCACGCCAAATAACACCCAGACACCCTCACCCAGTCAGGCCGAGGCCTCTTGTTCTCCCGGATCTACAATGGACGGTATTGACTTGGGTGCGCCGATCGCGACTCTTCGATCTCTAGGCGCGCTGGCGACAGATAATTTCCGATATAAGTCGGGCCATTCGGCTAAATGGTCAAAATCTCCCATCACTTTCGATTTAATTTCCCAATGTTTGCTGTCAGACCGTGATTCACAGCGAGCAATTGACATGTGCGTGTGTCATTTAGGTTTGCCGAATTGTAAGAGGCCTCACTGATAATGAGATATAGCTTCTTCAAACACTGCCATCCTTCCGCGCCCGTGCTGGAGGAAGATATACGTCACTTCTGGCGTGAGCCAGATCGCTACTCTCCTACTTTGATTCTGGCCATATGTTCCGTTGGCACGCGATTTTGGAATAACGACAGCCGACGGTGAGTAAGACCTTTTTGAGCCATGAACTGTAATGACACTTAACCCACTTCCATCCACAGTGACACCATTGACGCTGTTCATCCCAGTTTCAACAACCTCACCAATCTACTGGACAAAGCAGTCTCGAGTCTACTTCTTCGGCCGACGCCCTCAGATGTAACCTTGGATTCCGTCCGTGTGCTTCTACTCTACGCCCAGTGGATGCCTTGCAGTAGGGAGGATGGTAATGACCTCGGAGCTAGTCAGGCCCACGCACCAAGGAGTCGATACAACGAAATTAGCGCGTGGGCCATTCTGGGGCTGGCAGTACGATACGCCACTCTTTTGGGCTTGGACCGGTCCGCCATAGCGAGCTTTCGGGCGCACATGAACGGACCTTCCGAGCATGATGTTAACCGTCTACGCGTGTGGTATAACCTGCTAACCTGCAGTTTCAACTTGATGCTGACATCGGGTCTTCCCGCCTCGATCGACCCAGAACTATCAGTACAGGTGGCGCAAAGATTTAGTTCCCATGATAAGACGCAGTACCCAGGAGATCTCAGAGTAACTGGGCTTGTTGAGCTTGTCGGTATTGTTCATCGAGCGATGCGTAGCAGCAGAGATGTTTCGGCTCGTCAGTTACAGGCCCACAGCCTACAAAAGCTGAATTCGGATATGGATGCCTGGGAAAGGTATGAATGGCTGTCCAAGAGCGGTTAATTTTTTGATTCGCTAAATTCAAGTTTAGGACTTGGTTCTCACTTCTACGTAGGCCATCCATTATATTTCCAAAACAGGTTCGTTTGCTGTTACTAACTGTTTATGAGACAATACCGAGTTCCAACACAATCGATTACCATTCAACTCTCTTCGAGTAGGTCAAATGGCATTCACTTGCCAATTTCTAATCAGCTGACATCTCTTTCAGTGGTATCGGCTTTCATTGAACAGCGCCTCCCTTGCACCACTGCTGTCTGCAACATCACCACTGCCCACGGAGTTAGCACGTGAAGCTCTCCGTCATCCACTGAAAATAAGTCTTACCGCAGCTGCGCAAATGATACTGTCGTTTTCCCGCTTTGGGTCAGATTTTGTCTGGGAATTAGACTCACAGACTCCACTGAGCTTCCCAGATGGCCCTTTTCATGTTGATGCGGGCTCCATAGGCCAACTTTACTACGCAGTCGACTCTACGTGGATTTCACACACTTTTGCCGTGACCTTCCTTGTGATATGCTATATGAGAGGTATTATAAATGGTAAGACTCTTCAAGTAAGGTGTGGTTTGTAGTATTGCTGTTTCCCTAATCTAATAATTTATTCAGAAAACCTTCAGATTTGCTTTCAAAAGGACAGTCCCAATAAAATTGCGACTAAAGTATCTTCGTCTTCATGGTCAATTCTCCCTAGGCTTCTGTTACTCGCGCTGGAAATTTTTGACGGCGTCTGTCCCACTGCTACTTTCCACTTTTCTCGTGACTTCCAAGGACTCATTCGCTATGCAGTCTCTCTGGTAATGTCACTAGATCAACAAGATGCAAACGGCGGCGAAACAGTCGATGATCTGGCGTTTCAATCCCTTCTAGAACTGATGAACGACTCAGGTGTCGACTGGGCAGGAAGCCTTCTCGGAGAGCCTGGCGAATTCACTGACTGGAACATGAGCGAAATGCTCGACGGATAATGTATTTAGAGCTTGACTAGTCGCGGTTCCCTGGAAATATGCCGCGCTCCGAATCAGCGATCTTTTTGGCCATTGCGGCAACCGGCCTTCAAAGCTTGTGTACTTACGTTTCATTCTCCACCAGCTCAAACAGCACCTCCTGAGCACCTTTCCACAAGACCAATTGCCCCAAGTCATGTAAATCCTCGCTTCCTTCCGTTATAGTCAAGAAGTGGTTCGCTGCAAGCGGTCCCATCTTGCTCCCGAAGGAAACGCCGCCGTAACAAAATAGAAACTCTGTCTCTGAGATTCCTCCAGGATACAAGAGAATCTGTCCTGATGCCGGATGGGCTGTATGATTTTCGAATGGCACGCCGAAGTTGGTCTCCCCCAGCGGAATCCACATCGCCTCGCCACTCCATCGCACATGAATGAGCTTTTGTCGGTAGGGAAGCAGCGTACGGAAGAGCTCGACTGTTTTGGGCGCAGCTGATTCGAAGGTCGCGAGCAATTTATATGGCCCGGCTGTGATGCGAACCGTGTTTGAGTCTGCCATTTTTGTTTGAAGAAAGTATTGGGTAATTTTGAAACTCGATGGACAAGACGTTCCTTATCTACTGGACACCGGCGATCGGGGGGAGCGGGAGCGGCCCGCACGGCTTTGATGCCGACCGTCTGCGATCTTATCGCTGCCCTAGTGGATCTTGATGGCGAACTTAAAAGGAGAAGATGACTTGCTCTCTGGGATACTCAATTCTGCTGTGAAGTAATTGCCGCCATGTCGCTGGACCACATGTACATTCGGCAGTACGATAACACCTGCCCTCGTTCAGGTGCTACCAATGTGATCCAAGATGGCTTAACAATCAAGCCGGTGCTCCAGTCAGAAAACAGCGCTTTTGGTGCCGAGGTGCTTGGCGTTGATTGGAGCAAGCCCTTTCCAGATGCGACTGTAGCACAGGTTAGTGATAAACTTACTATTTTCTAAGAATTGACTAACTTCGGGATAGCTGGTCGCTTTGCAAGACAAATACGCTGTCTTGATCTTTCGAAAAACGGGATTAGACAACGCTCGACACATTGCATTCTCACAACAATTAGGCGACAAGCTTGAAATCAATCCATTTTTTTATGGTCGCGAAAATGATCGGTTGAGGGAGCCGTTGTTGTTTGACGTGGCGAAGTAAGTTTCTTTTCCCCTGTAACAAGTCAAGGCGCGGTCTAAACAAGCCCCAGTATTGAATTGGATGGCTCGTTGGTGAAAATGGATAGTCGTAGATGGCACCATAGTCTCGGGAATGCATTATGGCACACGGTCAGCGAGTCTCTCTTCTATCTAAGCGTCTCTTTCTAACCATGACTTTCAGGACTCCTCGTATCATCAACAACGTTCGAAGTACTCGATTCTTCTCTCTCACGGAAACCCGGTCGAGGGCGGATCTTGGACTCATTTTGCTGACCTGCGTCGGGCTTATTCTGATCTTTCACAAATGAAGAAAGACGAGATTGAGAACCTCGTCATTGAACACGAGTGCGTATTCTCTCGTCCCAAAAAATCCCTCACTGAGTCCACGTTAATCCAATTATAGTCTATGGCACTCTCGGAAACTAGCTTCTCCAGCTGTCTTTGGCAACCCTCTTCCTCATGAATTAGCAGCCAAGCCACCGGCATACCACCGACTCGTGCAAGTAGCTCCAGATGGGCGCAAAACAATGTATTTGGCAGCTCATGCGAAGCGGATCTTGGGGATGGAGTTTGAACAGAGTCAAAAAGTGATCTGGGAACTCATTGATCACAGTACCCAGCCAAAGGTAAAGGTTTTCATTCAATTTTTCCACATAAAGACCATAATCGGCTGACATTTCTACCACCTCAAGTATGTTTTCAGTATGGAGTGGTTGTCCCGGGGGTGACATGGTATGGTGGGATAATCGGTAGGTCTTCCAATCTTCCATTTGAGGTAGCTAACGGCTAATTTATCTAAAGACAATCTATGCACCGTGCTAATCCTTATACGGAGCATATGACGGCGAGAGATGTCCGCCGCTCTACAATTCTTGATGATGGCCCGTTGGCATTTGGTGCTAGTGCAGAAGAGAAATCGGTTGCCGAGCGAGATAAAATTAACTAACCAAGTGTAGCTCTATCCACGGATTCATACATTACCTTCCCTTTATTAGGCCTTCTAATTCATAAAAATATAGTAGCTAATTAGACAAAGTGTTCTAATTGCCTCCGGGGCTCCCCGATTTTTATTGTTTCGAATAGCTACAATTCAAAGTCTCTATATTGTGATTGCCCTGAAACGAACGAAGTAAGAGAAAGGGGTTACTATCGCCCGTAGGTTAGTTTATTAGTCCCACCGTCTCACTTCCCCCTGTGGCAGCAGCCTTTGCCTCGGGTAAACCGTCTTGTCCGGCTCCTATATCTTCTATAGTCTGTGTGGAGGGAGCTATGAGGACTTCGTGAAACTTAGCGTTTGGAGTCCCAATAATTCTTCCGTCTCCCAGAAGAATACGGTAGTTAGTATTTCCTTCGTAGCCTAGTAGGATGCATAGTATTATTCACGGATCCGTTAGCTTCTGTCTTTGCTTTAGCGGAGTTAAGTATTCCCCTTTAGATCCGATAACTCTGAGTCGCGAGAGGTCGGGTCTGTCGCCGTACTACGCTTGGTACGGAGTTATGTTGAGCTTCGATAACGGCGACCGATTAGAGAGGAAAGCTACGGTTCGAGTAATTTCTGGCCAGAACTTAGACGGCAACCTAGCATATGCTAGCGTAGGCCCAATGCGGTCATATATTGTCTTATGGGCTCTTTCGGTAACTCTATTCTGCTAGTGTTGATCTACCTCTGTCACCTTAGCTTGAATTACGCGCGAGAACGACATAAACTTTATCTCGTCTCCTTTTTATTTAGATATCCGGTTGAGACGTATTCGTTTGCATTTTCGCTCGGGGCGCCTATTGTGGTCGAGGAAGAATCGTAGTGATTGTATAACGAACTCTTGTCTTCGTGGTATAGGGATAATCTCGATCTAGCCCGTGAAGTTATTAACGATGGTGAGCCAGTAACGACTGCCGTTAAGGCCCTCATCAAATAGCCCTGCGGCGTTAATACAGAGGAGCTCTATTGCGTATTCTCCTCTTCTGCTTCTTCCTAATCTGCGGTAGGGTTTTTTGATCATTCGCTCCTACAGACACGAATTGCATAGAAACGTGGCTCTATGTCCTAAATACCATTAGCCTACTTTTTGACTCGCCGAAGATTTACGTTACTTATATAAGTAAGCCGATTATGCCGCAGAGATATTTGCGGCCTAACATAATAAGAGGGAAAAGTCAGACTTACTCACAGATCGAGTGCATAGACTCTATGATATTCGCTGGCAGTAAATAGATTCTTTCTATTTGACTAATTGCGAAGGAGCCGTTAAGGTGTCAAAGCCTCTTAGTGAGGGGCTATAGTACTTAGTCATTTGGACAAACCTCGAGGCACTATTGCAGACATGCTAAGCGCACCCACTATCCACGATCCACGCGTCACGAATAGAGAAGGTTTTTATCGCTATCACTATAGGTATATGGTCGAACAGGGCGAAATTGCTCTCGATATCGTTTCTAAATGCTTCGTTGATATCTTTCTCGGAGACTTTCATCGCCATAAAAGTTGGTTTCTTCGGATCCTTTGGATCACCCGCATCGTCATCCTCGTTATCCGTCGAAGGCCGCTTCTTCAACTGTTTGTATATGCTCGTATGCATTCTGCCTGGCTTTAGCTTCGGTCTATCTCCGTCTTTTAGTTTCAGGTTCGGATTCTTGGTGAAACATTCGGAGTCAACGTAATAAGATTTTCGGCAGAAGGGGCAATATAGGACGTTATCGATCTAGATTCGATAAGTAGTTCCGTCCGACGACGGGATGAGCTTCTTGTCACCTAGCCCACGGACTAGAGCAAGAGCAGGAAGTGCTTGCGTCTCCATTGCTTGTTTACCCAATTGCCCCTTCCTATGCTCTTCCTGAATTGCCTTATTCTCGATATAGTCAAACGTAGGCGCCGCTTTGGTGACGTTCCTATTTGCGTCTCTTTCATTGACAAGGTCCACTTTTCGGAAGATAGGATCGCGGAAGCTCTCGTGCTCCGGGCTGAGTCTATGCACGAAGAAAAATGTTCGCTCAATTTCGAAGGTTACGCAATCAGGGTCAAGGAGGAGTTTTTCAGCATGGATCTTCCTGATCTCTGCCCCGATGGCTTGAGTGCTCCTACACTTGTCTCTTGTAAGGGCCATATATCGCCGTTGGAGGTTAACATACGTGCATGAGCCTTCTTGTTAAAGTTATCTCCAATAGGAAAAGAAAACTATAGATATCAGTACAGTACTTTTAGTGATCACTAGTGATGTGGCATCCCGTAGAGGCAAGACTGTTCTGGAAAAAGAGCGGCCTTGTCCACGTACCACAGCCTTACCTTCCGGCTGTAACATTCCTAACATTCCTATCCTTGGACGTAATTAACATCTCGACTTGCCGATAGACTTTATACTCAGTAGTGTAGGTAAAAGGCGGGGTAGGCTGTGACAGGAATTACACGGGTCAAAGCAGTAAAATGCTTCTAAAGTTCCCTTCTCATGTAAGCGTAGGTGTTCTGCTCGGGTTAGTTCCAAGTAACGCGTTTAATAAGTGGCTGTTGACCTTCCATGGCTGATCTGATCGCGCCGGACGCGGGCCAGATGCAGGTGATAAATCATATCGGTCGTGTTTTAGACAAGGCTCTGCCACTCCTGTAAGCAGCGAGATTTGCGGTGACTAGAGACGCGTCGCACGTGATGCCCTATATCTTCTATCAATACGAATACCGCGGTGGACCGGAGATACAATTATCCTTCATGTTTATTACTTATGTAATTTAGAATCCCCCTATAAATTGGCAGAATCAGGGGTAATACAGAAACAGAGCTTTTGATATCGTTGATTGGTTGCATATAAAACATTCCGACATCTTCCAACCTGCAAAAGGTGAGTTGATTGGCAAAACAATCCAGGCCCGTGTGACGAGTCATCGCCTCTGAAACAAGCCCCACCGGCCCCCAAGCTATGAATCATACGTGGTTCTCGCAACAGTCCCGAATAGAACCTATCATTTCAAGTCTGGTGGCGGAAGAATGCAGGTACAATGTTAGCCAATAGAAACTCGGATAAAATCACGTGCATTTCACCGCCCACGAGGCGCCCGGCCAACTCTGCAGACGTCAGTGTGGTAGATTTCTCTGACTTCTCTTCATGGCAGGTGATCATAGAAATCTGATAAGTGGGTGGGTCGTGGCAAAAGCTGACTGATGTTCATCTATTCTGAAAATCTTTAATTTACATGCTGAGGCTTTTTTTTGGCCACGTCGCCTAGAAACAGCACATCGAGTCAGTAATACAAAGTCGATTTTTTCCTTTTTCAAATTCCCCCGCTATAGCTCTACTAAAATCTAGAATTAACAATAAAGTCTAGCGAGAATAGCTGAAGGGATCAGAATTGTTTATCTGTAATTTTACAGCGGTGTCAGATACTCAGGCAAATACATAACGCGTTCGATAAAGTTGAGGCGCATAGCTCATCAGGTCAATTTGGTTATGACTGGTAATTACTAACAAGCTACATAGTAATTTTAATATTTTCAAAAATGCCTATTTTGGTCATGTGACTATGCGAGCTCATTAAGTCGGAATTAGACTCACTATTTTGACCTGATGAGCTTTAAGTAGTTATTACTAGTAGTGACTAGATAAATTGACTTTTATTGTAAATTCCAAAAAATTGAGTGACCTAATGACCTAATGAGCTTTTACTTAGTATGACTAGTAGTGATTAGAAGGGTAAGGTTACCTCTTATTAGTAGGCTAGCAATATCTATGAATAAATTATTTTCTAGTAAAGATAAATAGTGTTGGAATTTGGACGAATGCTATATTAGGTGAAGGTATCCTCTTCTTCAACATAAGAAGAAGAAGAAGAAGAAGAAGAAAAGAAAGAGATGCGAACATGATTTACCCCTCTAAACCGCTTACCCCTCTTTACCCTACTAGATCGATAATATATTCCTCATCACGCCATCAGTTCTATCACATTTCCTTCCCTGATTCTATTCTGGTTATCTGATATAAAGCATGTGATATTGACTATTTTCTGTCTATAAATACGCGCGAGACACCAAGTAGAAATGACAGACCTTTCACTCTCTTCAAATATTCTACTATCCCTTTCTATCTGCTAAGAAAGACCTTCTGCTTAGTCCTTTGTTTAAAGATTGTGGATTGTACTCATTTAGAGTGCATAAGCCCTTTGCACTCTATCTTATTCTTTTCTATCTTTATCCGATCAAGCCTTCCTTGGTCGGATAGACCTACGGTCCGTGGTCGGGAAGCATCTACAAAAGCGTACCCCGCGCCACGAAAAGCTTCGTGGTATCCGCCTCCCTACGCGGCCGACAGAAAGTGAAGATAATAGTGGTATACCCTTAATAAGTCAAACACGTCACTCTGGAAGGGCAAGGAAGGTACCAAAGATCTACGATAGGTTCGAAATCAGTAAATAATACATTCTTTTGGCTCTATTTTATCTTATCTTTCAAGCTTAATTAAAGACTTTATTATCTAGAATCTTACCGCTTGAATACCTAAAATACTGTATGAATTGCATAAATTATGTCTCTTAGTATCGTGGGCCGCCAAGAGGCCCATGGGCCGGCCCGTCCATGGACAGAATAAGCCGGCCCGTCCATGGACAAAAGTTCCGGCCCATGGGCCATGTCAATGTCTAACTACCACTCTATTTAACAAACCACCTTTCACTACATCATTTAACGATACTGCTTAACCACACCGCTTAACTATACCACTTCGTTCAATTACAACGCTAGACTACCTTCATTGAACGTCTACACTCCATACCTATTTCCATTCAGGGGTCATAGTATCAATATAGTGTTCCCTTTTTGACTTTCTCTGTAGCATTTTCTCGTTCAATATTTGTTCAGAAGGAACACGTAGTCTGAATCTTGAGCTCTGCTTACGGTTCCTAGAGGCTACTATAGGTACAAACGCTCGTATTGGCAACTCCGTAGCTTGCGTGGGGTGCGTGGCCTAATTTCGGCCGATCTACACAAAAGGCGGTCAAAGAGGCGGTTCCAGCAGCCTATAACCTAAGAGTTCACTAAGCGCCGCCCTCTCACCAATAACCCCTTTTGGCAGCGCTAAGTCGTGCGAGGGTCGCACTGACCTCCTGAACTAAATTTAGTCTTATGATTATTGGATAAAAATATTGATCCGAGACGCTCGGCCCCTTATATCTGCACATAGCCACGTTCCATGTATATGGCATTAGTATTAATGTGCCAGAAAATTACCTCGCCGCAAAGAGAGGTTTATTCAGCACCGACCAATTTCTGCCTCACAGGTGAACCCTTAACGGTCTTAGATAAATTAACATTATAGGGCAAATAGAAATTTACCCTATAATTTAAACTATTAAAAATTTAAATTGAAAAAAAACCATAGGAACCCGCTTATAATCGCTTTTAAAAACCGAAAACCCTGATTGAAATAGGGTCTCACAGGAAACCCTAACGCCATACAAACGGATACTTAGTTATTTATAATGGCCCCTATTACAATCATCCCTATAGGATAGAGCGTATATATCAGTATAAACGAGACAAGTGCGCCGTAGATAGACGTCTTCAGTCTGTAATGGGATTCTGTGATCCTTGAACCACCGCGCGCCCGTGTGCATGGCCACGGAGACCACAGCCACGCATAGACTGGCGATCAGCGATCTCTACGAACGATCAGTCTTAGTCTCAGTCGCAGGTCTAATCTTCAAGAGAGGAGTGTTACCGTGTCCGCGCTCTTGCTGATATTCTGCGACACCATAGCGAAGGTTCAGGACCCAAGAACCATAGCAGTGCGACAACGTTGACAGCTCAAATCGAATCCATACGGTCGGCGTTATAGTTTCTAGCAGAGGCTAGCGCAGCGGCATCGGAAAATGCCAACACTGAAAGCGGAGACCCAACGGTATGCAGAACACACCGTGCGCGCGCCGTCTTCCTTGAAACCTAGTGCAGATTCAGCCGGGGAAGCGCCCCGCCATCGCCTAACGTACTGTACTGTCAGGTCGGAGACTCGGGCGGAGGAGCAAGTGTCGAGCGGATTTTTCGGATATACCCAAAATGGGATAAGCGATGAGCGAATAGCGAATAGCAGGTAACAGGATACGAAAGACGCTCGGAGTAAGATTTAGCATTACTTAATGACCATAACTACCCTTCCACGGGCAGGAAACAAGGACGCGCACTGTGAATCCTTCGTCCTGCTTGATTCCCTCTCTGCTTTCTGTACCTATACGTCAGCATGCGGCTTCTCAGTCTCAGCATCCTGTTGCTAGCAGCACCGAGTGTCGAGGTCGCGGCCTATACCTTAGATCAGGTTGAGGCTCAGTTCTCCTCGTACCTTCAGCTCGCGGAGAACGGCTTGCTGAGCACTCGAGGCCAATTGCCCTTCGGCTGCACGCCCGCGGTCAGAAAGCCCCGTGCCGCTCTGTGCCGCTCGCATCTGCTGACCCATACCAGTGCGGCTTTCTAGAGTTTGCGCTGCCATCGCAGATCTCGTATCCGAACAGCACCACCTACAGCCTCAAGGAGTCGACATACTGGTCGCAGCAGCAAGCATTGACGGAGCCGACCTGTCGTTTCTCCCCCGAGTCCGCGCTAGATGTTTCCTTTGCAGTCCTGACCCTTCAGGTGGCCCAGTGCGAATTTGCCGTGAAGAGCGGTGGCCATGCTGCTTTCGAGGGAGCGTCTAACATCCAGGGGGGATGACAATTGATTTGGCCAATCTGAACGAGATTACCGTGCGGTCTGACCGGGCCCAGACGGCCGTTGGCGCTGGTAATGTCTGGTACGACGTCTACACCACGCTTCAGCCCATGGGGCTCACTGTGATCGGCGGACGAGTCTCGGCCATCGGCGTAGGAGGACTGACTCTAGGCGGGGGCATATCATTCTTTTCCGGTCGCTACGGATGGGCCTGCGATAATGTCAACAATTACGAGGTCGTGCTTGCGGACGGTTCCATTCAGGAAGTGAGCTTCTCCTCGCCATATTCCGATTTATACTGGGCGCTCCGTGGTGGAGGGAATAACTTCGGAATAGTTACCCGTTTCGACCTCATGACCTTCCCCCAGGGCGATCTCTGGGCTGGTTCGGAAACCTTCATCTATACCCCCGAGACGGCAGCAGCCATCAACGATGCATTTTATTTCCTTGGTGTCAACGCTCCATCCGACCCTTACGCGCAGGTCATCACTGCCTACGCGTATGCACAATCGGTGGATGCTTATATCATAGCCTCAGATTTACAATATGGGAAACCAGTTGCAAACCCACCTATCCTGCAAAACTTCACAGCTGTCCAGGGTGCCATCGCCAGTACTCTC